TTAGTCTTCATATTTGGCATGGAGGTTAGTCATGATTAGTAGATGACCCCTATTGATTTTGAGGTCACTAGTCAAAGGTCAAGGTCACGGTCACAGGGGCTTGACTTCAAAAAAGCTTGTCCGCCCAATAACTTAAGATTCCTTTGACCCTTAGTCTTCATATTTGGCATGGAGGTTAGTCATGATTAGTAGATGACCCCTATTGATTTTTAGGTCAAAGGTCAAGGTCACAGGGGCCTTGACTTTAAAAAGCTTGTCTGCCCAATAACTTAAGATTCCTTTGACCCTTAGTCTTCATATTTGGCATGGAGGTTAGTCATGATTAGTAGATGACCCCTATTGATTTTGAGGTCACTAGGTCAAAGGTCAAGGTCACAGGGGCCTTGACTTCAAAAAGCTTGTCTGCCCAATTACTTAAGATTCCTTTGACCCTTAGTCTTCATATTTGGCATGGAGGTTAGTCATGATTAGTAGATGACCCCTATTGATTTTGAGGTCACTAGGTCAAAGGTCAAGGTCACAGGGGCCTTGACTTCAAAAAGCTTGTCCGCCCAATAACTTAAGATTCCTTTGACCTTAGTCTTCATATTTGGCATGGAGGTTAGTCATGATTAGTAGATGACCCCTACTGATTTTGAGGTCACCAGGTCAAAGGTCAAGGTCACAGGGACTTTGACTTCAAAAACTTTGTCTGCCCAATAACTTTAGATTCCTTTGACCCACAGTCTTCATATTTGACATGGCTTTGATCATGATTAGTAGATGACCCCTTTTGATTTGAGGTCACTGGATCAAAGGTCAAGGTCATAGGGACTTTGACTTCAAAAAGTTTGTCCACCCATTAACTTAAGATTCCTTTGACCCACAGTCTTCATATTTGGTATGGATGTTGATCATGACTATAAGGTGACCCCTATTGATTTTGAGGTCACTGGTCAAAGGTCAAGGTCACAGGGACCTTGACAAAAAAAAGCTTTTCTTCTCAATTGCTAAAAGAATGTCCTGTCCGCAATGTATTGATTTTGACATTTTCACATTTGAAGCATGTAGAATACATAACTTAGCAATGCACTGGCTTAGTAACCTCAGATTTGCAGGGAGGGTTGTCCTTGAGCTCTAAATGGCCACTGTTGATTCTGACAAAGTGGTATGCGGGGATATTCACGCCATGATAGTGGCAGTTCTAGTTTTGATATCTTTTAAGCTGAGTTATTCATCTCTCTGTGCTCCAATTACTTACTTTTCTTCTCTGTTGATTTAAATGGCACCAGTGAGTATGTAATTCATTTACGAATGGAGAAGCTGTTAAACTAGCCTATTGAAGGTTGGAGATTCTATTCAGGTGCCTGAATTATTGCATGGAGACACCTGCCAGGGTCCTAGATGTAAAAAATATTTCAAATAACATTGACATTGTTGTCATGACTTAAGATACAGCTCACTGGAAATATTATCTATTTCATCAGTGAGCTGTTATTGAATTTCCAAAGTACTTTTAGTATAAATTTTGCCAGTTTTTCAGGCTTTTATAAAGGTAAAGATACAGTTTATCTCTTTTAATGTTGAAATGTCATAAATGTGGAAAAAAAATAAAAGTATTATAATTGTCAATAAATCTTTACTAGTCTTAGTCAGCTTTTTAGATTTTAGCCGCACAAGTGTCGTCGGATTATACATATGAGAAAGCAGTCCAGCTAGCTTTTAGAAGGTCAGTGGTTCTACTCTGGTGCCTATTTGTGACTGAAATAATTCACAGAGGGGAACCTGAGGTCTTCCTCCACAATTGAAGCTGGAAAGTGGCCATGTGAACTATACTTTATTGGTTCGATGTAAAACTCAACCAAAAATAAAAAAAGACAGCTTTGTTTAAGCTCAATGATATTGAAGAAAAGTAGTTAATAGAATATTTTGTCTGTCACATTTCAGTTAGTTGAAACATCAAGGTTATATTAAGTATATGTTGATATATATTCTGTTTTCAGCTGGTCAGCATAAAACAATAAATGTATCAGCCCTACAACAGACTCTTAGTGGTGTTGTACAATCACCTCAAGTTGTTACAGCTGGCAAAACAAATATAACAGTCGTATCACAAGCTGGTATGTGTTTAGTTTACTCCTTTTATGACAGGCTTCTATTATTTGTTACTGATTTAGTATGTTGTTTATGAGTAATTTTATAACATGGCTTGCTTGTAGTGTCCAGAGATATTGATAAAATTTTTATACTACATGTAGTTAAAGCAGCCTGCAGCTTTTCAAAAGGTTAAATACGTGATATGATGCACATTTCAAAGATAAAATTATTGAAATACTTTGTTTAAAACAATACAGAATTGTTTTTCCAACAGAAAATAAAAGCTGAAGGCTGCTTTAATAAAAAAATTTAATTGTACTTCAAATACCAGTAATTATACAGGGTTCGTACAGTCTTAAGAAGTGCTTAAATTTCAGTCCCTTTCTTAAAAAGTGCTTAAAAATGATAAAAAGTGCTTAAAAGTCCTTGAATTTGATTATTCTCTTGAAAAGTGCTTAAAAAGTGCTTAAATTCGCTACAAATGTGCTTGAAAATGATTGAATGACAGAAAAGTGTCAGTAAAAATCAACAGTTACCAAAAAAAAACAATAAAAAAGATCTTGTTCAGTACCAAAATCAATGTTTGCTCAATGTAACAGACACAAATTGCAGTTAATTTGAACTTCACTTCAACCCCTCTATAATGCTCATGTTGTGTTCCAAGGTTTCAACACAGAATTTAGCCAGATTCTGATATGTAGCCCTCATCGCAAGATCATCGCAATACCCCACTCACTGCGATTTTGTATAGTGCTAATGATTTTTACTTAACCATTCAATGAATATTGACAATATTTTTGTAAGACAATTTACTAATGTAGATATATATCATATTATCATGTTATATTATTTATATTTAAAAGAAACGGAAAACCTACAAAAGAGCGTGATATATTGAAGTTAGGGTTTTAACAGGGGGCCATAAAATAGGGTGGCAGTTCAGTATCTTTCTTGTTATTCTATAGGAACTGTTAAAGTGTACTGTAGCCAGAAAATGTGTTTTCAACAAAAAATGACTTATAAATTAAAACTGGTTAAACATTGTGTAGGATAGACACGCAACAAATTGTGCTTGAAAAATGGAAAAACATGCTTAAAAAGTGCTTTAAAAGTCCTTGAATTTTGATACTGGATGTCTGTACGAACCCTGTTATAATGATGACACTTGAGTATGATCTGTGCCAATTGCCTTAGTCATATATTATAGCTTTAACAACAATGTTAAAACCTTTATAGGACTCAAACACATGTTTCTAGTTTTAAGAAGTTGCTAATTAAAATAAGCCTTTGCTCTATTTAACAAAGTGATTGGGCAATAAAGGGCAATAAATATCTTTGAAATACACATGCATACCACTGAAGATGAGCATTTATTCAGATGATTAAAATGTTCTGGTTAATGAAACAACTACATGAGGTTACCATTGAACCCTAAATTAAACTGAAATCTTCTTTCTTGTCGAGTGATTATACAAATTTATAGCAAGGCCAACATTTAAACATACAACTTCTTTTAACTTTACCCATTTTACTGTGATCTGTAACAAAATTGTATCTTAGATTGTATCTTAGCCCTTTAAAGTTGATTACTCATTTCGAGGATATTGGGTATTAGGCTAGCAACATGTTTTTAAACATTTCAGGAGGAACCTCTCAGATCATCAGGACTATACCAGCATCACAACTTATCTCCTCTTCTACACCAACAGCCTCTTCTCTCCTCGGTACCAGTCAATCAAATGTTTCCCTCATATCTGCTGGTTCAAACCAGATTGGTAACCAGACTATTCAAGTTGCCCAGTCTCAGCAACCATCTTCAAAACCAGTACAGATCACTATAACACCACAAGGGCAGGTGGCTACTACACCTGTTGTCGTTCAAGCATCAGAACCTGTTGCAACTGATGAGGCAGACGGTGCTTGTACAGATGGTATCCACTGTGGGACTCCACCCCCATGTACAGATGGAATCCATTGTGGAACTCCCCCTCCATGCACAGATGGAATCCATTGTGGAACTCCCCCTCCATGCACAGATGGTATCCACTGTGGAACTCCCCCTCCATGCACAGATGGAATCCATTGTGGAACTCCCCCTCCATGCACAGATGGAATCCATTGTGGGACTCCACCTCCATGCACAGATGGAATTCATTGTGGGACTCCACCTCCATGCACAGATGGAATCCATTGTGGAACTCCCCCACCATGCACAGATGGAATTCATTGTGGGACTCCACCTCCATGCACAGATGGAATCCATTGTGGAACTCCCCCTCCATGCACAGATGGAATTCATTGTGGGACTCCCCCTCCATGCACAGATGGAAAACATTGTGGAACTCCACCACCATCAGATAACACACACTTTGTACCTATAAAGGATGGGGCATGCTCTGATGGAATACATTGTGGAACTCCTCCTCCACAAGAAGGTTATGGAACCTGCACGGATGGAATTCACTGTGGAACTCCGCCCCCTCAAGAAGGAAATGGAACTTGCCAAGATGGCATTCACTGTGGTACACCACCCCCACAGGAAGGAAGTGGAACCTGCACGGATGGAATTCACTGTGGAACTCCGCCCCCTCAAGAAGGAAATGGAACTTGCACAGATGGAATTCACTGTGGAACCCCTCCCCCACAGGAAGGTAATGGAACCTGCACAGATGGAATTCACTGTGGAACCCCTCCCCCACAAGAAGGTAATGGAACCTGCACGGATGGAATTCACTGTGGAACACCACCTCCTCAAGAAACTGAGGGAACTAATGAAGAGAATCAAGAAAATGTTCCAACAACTGAGACAGAGGCAACATCACAAGAAGCTGAGACAACCACAGCTGAGGGACAGCAAGAAGCAGACCCTCTTTCATTTACCCAGGTAATGTACAGTTCTTAAGAGGTTGGGTGTAACAATTAATCAGTCTTATATAACATTTAATCAGTCTTATGTTAGAAAACATAAGTCTAAATTTTGAAAATGTAAGTGTAATGTTAGAAAACGTAAGTCTAATGTTAGAAAAGGTATTGTTGAGGCAATTAAGCTACTTTGCATCTGTCAGTCCATACATTTGGTTTTTAGAATGATCAGCTCATTTCAAAGTGCTATGATTGTATCTTGTAAGAATATAATTAAGTGAATTTAGATGAACATTAGGTTTTATTGATAATGATGCAAATTCATACATAGATTTTTATGTTAAATGTTAATATTTTAGCTTACACAGTTTTACTGTTTATATTCAGTTTCAATTATTGACAAGATCTATATACTAAGTCTGTCTAGTTTGCTACAAGTTATTGCCCCTTGTTACTCACAGAATAATGGTTATATTTCAGCTTGATGGTGGAAATTCAGGGGAGACAAGTACGGTTGACGAGGCCGTGTCTGCAGAAGATATGCTGGCATCTGGAGAGCCTTCAACCACGGGCGTCCTAGATGAGACCGAGGCCATGGTCACAGCACCTTCTACAGAAGCAACTGGTAATATACAAACATGTGACTTTTAAATTTTCTCAATTGACATTACGCCGCCTGTCAATCAAACAGACAGGGGTCACAGAGATAAGCCAATCAGCGATTGTTATCAGTTCCACGCTAAGATGCCTACGATGTCCACCATTTTCCTTAGACAAGCTACGTGTCTAAGACAATGGTGCAGAAGTAATTTAGAATGAAATTATTTTAATTTTAATCATATATAATTAAGTTACCAAATATAGTGACATTAGTTTATTATACAATAAATCAATAATTTTCTATACATATGGAAATAACAAGTACGAAACATTTATCCTGGCTATAACACAATGCATTGAAAAGGGAAAAGGTTTAAACAAATCCACTTTTTCCCATTCTATCTATTAATAATCACATTACATATTATAAGGTCCCAAAATATCCAGGAGATATGACCTTCTTTCGTTAATAACGTTAAGCGTCAATAAAAACGCAGCCGTAAAAATGCAAATATAATGAGTAAACATAATAAAAAAATTGGGTGAAATTATCTAACCTGAAAATTTCTATTAAAGTTCAATAAATTAATATTGAACATTCAAATAGATCTGCCTAATACCAAACTAATACCAATAACATCATGTCTGATATATGTGATGTTTATTTTAAAGAGAATAACGTTGTGTTTTGTCGTGAATAATATCAAATGTATGTAAGCAATAAATAATCATATATCATAAAAAGTTAGCAAGGGCATGCAATTTTCTGAATACATTTTAACAATTTGAACAAATTAATGTATCATTAAAACTGAATTTCGCCATAAAACCCGAAAAATGATTTTAAATTTATTTGTGTCACTAATATAACTTTACTGTTTTATCACAGATATATAAACAATTAATTTTTAGTTCCATAATTTTGTTTCGCTACTTCAATTTCAAAATAAAACAATCATAACATAATCATATACGATTCTACATAATTATAGTCTCTCTTTTAATTTGTAAGATATAATGATATTTTGTCAGTTTTAAATTTTCATTTAAAGTCAACAAAAAATAACACCATCTTTGCAAAACGGTTCATGCGTCATTAATGCGTAAATACAGGTTTTTTTTTAATTTTTAAAAATACCGTAATACAGTTATATATTGAATTACAGATCTACTATTTAATAAAATCATTAAAAGCATCAAAAGTTTATATTTACAAAATTTATATAAGGTAAATTCATTGGTAACATTATTGGCACAACAGCTTTGCAAATACATCGGTAGCGTATTTTGTCTAAGGTTTTTACTGACCGGGTCACGTGAATCAGTGGGTGGAGCGATCCCTTCTCTGGCGTAATGTCAATTTTGGAGATAAAATGATAATCTACAATTTTATAAATCATTCTTTTAAGTAGAAATTGAAATTTTTATGTTCACATACAATATTCATGAGCGTTAAATAACAGGAAAAATATGTTGCATCTCGTTTGAGAATCAACCACAATACCATGGAAATAACATAGATTTAACTGCTGTAAATTCATTAGAATTTTTCATTATAAAGATATAACTTAATACCCTTTGGTTATGGACAGGTATTAATTGAAATTTGATGTAATAGATATTGAAGGGTGTACATAAAGGATATATTTGTGATTTCAGAAGGTGTAGAGCCCACACCAGAGATTAAAGAAGAACCAATGGATACCACAGATGTGGCCCAGCCAGAGCAGCCCCAACAGGTAGAATATCTTTATAATCATACCCTCGATAAAATTATTTTGTTCATGGACTTATATAAGATATTTGTAAAGTGTACACAATAGCGGAAGAAATGCAACTGTTTTATTTTAAGCTGACAATATAAATGATACTTTATGACACATTCTAGTATCATTTCTTAGTATGGTGGTTCTCACTTAAAGTGAATCCGCTAAAGAGGACATACAGATATAATGTACACACTCTCTAGGTCACGATTTTCCTCCTCTATCTTATTTTAAGACCTTTGCCAAACTCAAATAAAACAGAATTTTAAAGAATAAACAGACTTAAAAGTAGTCACAGATAACATAGATGGCATTAAGAAATGTGTATTGAATTAATGATTCATGAATCACAAGAATTTTTTGTACATGTTTTTTATTTAGAATTTGTAACTGTAAGTTTGCAATTTGATTACAAGATTGTTTTAATTAAAAAATTCTGTCAATCAACTTTTCATGCATGTCAGCTGATCCCATAACAGTTTGAGTAGATACATGTATAGGTACTTTACAAGATATTCATTCATTATATGAGCCGTGTCATGACAAAACCAATATAATGGGTTTGCGACCAGCATGGATCCAGACCAGTCTGCGCTAGCCTGCGCATCCGCGCAGTCTGATCAGGATCCATGCTGTTTACTATCAGTTTCTCTACTTGTTATTGGGTTTGTAAGCAAACAGCATGGATCCAGACCAGACTGGGCGGATGCGTAGGCCGGTCTGGATCCATGCTGGTCGCAAACACACTATGTTGGTTTTGTCGTGACGCGGCTCATATTGATTTAAAAAACCTCCCATACAGCATACAACATCTTTGATTATTTTCTGATAGCAATCTGAAAGTGAGCAAAGCATCGACCCAGTTACTGGACTACACAATGGCATGCCTGTGCAACTTGACACATCAACAAGTAGTGGTTTATTGGGTCAGTCAGTATCTTTACCTGACCAAATATTTGCTGTACCAAACTCGGGACAGGACACTTCTAGTTCAGATATTAAACCAGAGGACTTACTCCTTCCGAAATCCGAGCCAGTAGATCTAGGACTGATCAGCCAAGCTTCTGACTCTGGTCAAGGTAATTGATATAGTCCAAAAAAAAAAAATTAAAATTAAACGTGATTGTGTAGTGAGATATATTATTGCATATGGTAGAATACATTTTGTGTATAAGTACTTTTTCTTTTCAATATATATATATATATAACCTATGCTGAGATCAGAATTTCAAGCTTCACTGATAAATGTAATATTTTATAATCTAAGCAAAATCAGAAGAATCTACTATTGCAGTGTTTCAATCATAAGTTAAGTAATATTCACATATTATACTCATATTAAAAGTAACTATAGATGATATTCATGTTATGTTTGTATTTCAGATCCTCTAGCTACACTAGCAATGGCAGCAGCATCCTCAGCAGGGGCTGTAACTAGTATCAAACAAGAACCTATCAAACCTACACAAGTATGTACAACAGTTTATTATATATTGTTGCTTAAAATAGACCACTTTTTTACTTTAAGCTTTTTTTTGTTTTTGTTTTTTTTTATTTATGGCGCACCAATACAGTTTTGGTAATATGGCACTGAAACAGGAAAGATGATTTTGGCTTACAAACTTTAAGCAATACAGGGGTCAAAACCACCTCATCTGTTTGAGCTAAGAAATGCATAGACTCCAATATTGGGTTTGAATTATTGGAGTCTATGAATCTCGTAGCTCCAACATATAAAGTAGTTCCTTTGGTGTAAGCCAAAAATAATCTTTCCTGTTTAGGAGCCATATGACCTATACTGTGTTGGTGCACAGTAAAACCAAACAAAAAGAAATTTTTAAGTGAAAATATTGGTTAAATGTCACACAAATATATATATTATATTCACAGCTGTCTTGTATTTTTGGCATAAAGATAAGATATTTTGGGCTAATCAGTTCTTTAATCAGAGGACAATTGAAGAAAATGTTATATATATGTGAGATCATGCCAAATGTAATGTAATCATAACTTGATATTAGAATTTTAAAATTTTAGATGTTAATTTTGGAAATTAGTGCTTATTTTCTTTGTCATTAAAAAATGAATACAACCAACCTAGTGTTTTGATGTGTTGTTCTCCCCTCCCAATCTTTTAAAAAATGAATCTTGTTTTAATTTCATGACCAATGTTTCTGCTGCATTTGTTCTTTATTGAAGATATTAGGTTGTCAATATGTTATCTGATTGAACTGTGAAGTTCATCTCTTATCTGTCTTATTTAGGAGACTAAAGTATTAACAACAGTTTCTACACCAAAGAAAGAAGGGAACATGTGGTATGATGTTGGTATCATTAAAGGAACGTCCTGTCTTGTGTCATATTACCATCTACCAGCAGAGGGTGGTCAGGGAGATATAGCTGATAAAAAGGTAAGAAACTTAATGTTTTAACATCACAAACCTTTATAATCTAAAAAACTTGGAGCAGGATACTATATGACAAATTATAAGTTGCCATTTTGTATATGATGTGGACCCTTTCATCTACTGAATATGAGGAAACTATCGAGCTAGCTTACAGAATGTATATGGTTCTACTCTAGTGGTGCTTGAGGTCTTCCTCTACGAGTAAACCTGGACATTGGCCATATAACCTTTACAGTGTTTGTTGAACTTCAAACCATTCAAAAAAAAGGAAAAAAAAAAGACTAAAAATGAAAAACTACTAAACATTTATTATGAAGATATAATCGCTTTTAATTCAGAAGTGACCATCGTGAGTTTGAGTGTTGCCAGAATCAAAGTTGATATAACTCTGCTATCGGCATATACTGGTTACTTGGTCAAACTGCATAAATCTGCTTGCAGGTCCTGCGATGTTTCAATATTTTTTTCATTCCTTAACTAGCCCTCAAAATTTTATGGAATATATATTAATGGTCTGTCTTAGACACTTTTCATGATAAGATTCATCTTGGTGTAAAGCATTGGATGAATCATGTTCATTTTGTTGTAAGCAAGTGCTGAAATATCATGTATCAGAAATACATATTTGTGCAAGTTATGTAATGATCATAAAGAAAGTTACCATCATTATTTCCAGGATATAGATGTCGTGTCAATACAGGATCACAGTGTATTAAAGAGACAAGAGTTATTGCCGGGAACAGCATACAAGTTCCGGGTCGCGGGTATTAATGCTTGTGGACGTGGGCCATGGAGCGAAATATCAGCATTCAAAACCTGTCTACCAGGTTACCCAGGTGCTCCATCAGCCATTAAAATTAGCAAGGTGAGTACAATATGACTTGAAGAATGGAAAGTTGTTTTAACCCATAACCTGATTGAATTAGAAGTGATTAGCTTTTGCCACCAGTCTAGAGCTAGGCCAGCTTGCATATCCATGCAGTCTGACCAGGCTCTATAAGTTGGTAGCTGAGTTTTGTATATTGATTATGAAGTCCCTTTAACATTGTAAGGATTGTTCTAAATTAAGATAAAGCTGTACAAATCTATTAAGCAAAATTAGCAGGTTAAGGGTTCATATGCACATAATCAAAGACCATTGCTAATCTGTAGCAATAAGTGACTTAATCATTCCTCAAAAATAGCTAAAAATGTATAGATCTACTTTGTAAGTGAATTTTTTCAGATAATCTAAATACACTGGTTTAAGGTTTCTTGAAAACTGATGGTAGTCAAATGGCTAAAGATTGTTTTAGCCACTTTTATATGAAATACATATGTAGTCACAGAAAGCATACTGTTTCATGTAAAGAGTCTTGTGAAAAAATATTGTATGCTACTCTGTTTTAAACATTTACAGCAAAATAGAATTATAGCACCAATAAATTTTTTGTATCAGTTTTTGTTTTGAGATGATATAATTATGAGAGATTTTGATCTTATCTTAAGCAGCCAGGGGAGGTAATAATTGCTATATGAAAAGCATCAATTGCTATGATACTGCCAAAGGTGTAAAAAAGAACTACAACAAGTTGTACATTTAATGTGTGTCAAATTTTATTCTCAGAGTGCAGATGGTGCTCATCTTTCATGGGAACCTCCACAAAATACAGCTGGAAAAATTACTGAGTACTCTGTATACCTTGCTGTACGTAATGCAGCTCAACAAGCAGAACAGAAACCAGGTGGCGCTGCTCAACTTGCATTTGTACGAGTATTTTGTGGACCGACCGCATCATGTGTGGTGAATTCAAACAGTTTAGCCAGTGCTCATATAGACTATACAACAAAACCAGCTATTATATTCCGTATAGCAGCTCGTAATGAGAAAGGATATGGTCCGGCTACACAAGTCAGGTGGCTTCAAGGTATGTTATATTTCCAGTGTTGTATCATTCTGTCTGATTTACTGGTTGAATATTTCAATAAGACTACATACATATTGATACCAGTATATCAATTATAGTTTAATTTTTACAGGATTTAGAAATTAAACAGAATTTTAGTTTGTGTAGGAAGCTTGAGGCTTATTAAAACAGTTCTAAATCTGTTCCTGGACCCAATCTATAAAAAGCAATCAGTATAAAGTTACTAGCTCAATGAAACAATAGTTTGGCCGTGATGGGGTTTGAACTCATGTGTCCAGCAATTCTTAGATTACTAGTCTGAAGATTTCACTACTTGGTCATGCAAAATAATAATAATAGTCATGTAACTTTCCTTTGCCCATGTCATTCTGCCCCATCTTAGAAATGGTCAAAGCAATATATAGCAACAGGGTATAATAGTGCATGCAAAAGATTCCTAATTAACTGTTTAACTCATATGTCACTGCCTTGTCTCTTACAAAGTATATTTATACTATGTAGTGTATAAATTATATTAAGCTTGTTATTTAACATAAATAAATCATACTTTCAGATGCTGCCCAAGGAGCTGCTGCAGCTGCTACAAATAAATTGCCCGTGAAGAGAACTGTTGATGCGTAAGTCATCTGTTTATGTACTTTACTCATCTGAAGTTTGTGTTTATACAAGTTCTATAAAGCCCTTCTTACAATGCAGTTACACAGCCTTTATTATCACAGGGATAAATACATAAGTGTATATATACATGTATATGGAGTGATTTAAGAATGAAAGTGTAAACAGTGTTAGTGATGTGATGTAATTTGTAGATCCAGTTACATGTCAGCAAAGTTAATTGATCTTCTATTGTGTTGATGTGACATATTGTTTAAAGAAAAAGGTTTTTAAATTTTCCCCCAATTTTATACAAAAAGGTGTTAACTTTCACTTCATCTGATTTCTTTAATTGAGATTGGTTACATTCATGAATATTACTATTTTTGTAATCAGAATAAATTTGCATAATCTCTTGGTCAATGACAGTAATCACATGTAGTTTTTTGTTGTCACTGTAAAGTTTATTGATCATGGTATTATTATATATTACAGGGCACAGCTGCAGGCAATACAAATGAAGAAGATTAAGACGGATGATGAAGCTGGCATGTAAAATACTAAAACCAGTCTTAATTTGTAGGAGAACCAGTCTAATCAAATATTGATAAACCAGTCTGTAATGTTTAAAGTAACCAGTCTGAAAAAAAATTCTAGAACCTTTGAAGATTTTCACATCAGAATCATAACAAAGCTTGCATGTTAATAATAACAACTGTTCTAGTTAATATTAGCATTTATTTATTAGTAATATTTCTTGTGAAGCAGTCTAGAAAATGAGATCTTGTTTAAAGACATGATGCAAATATATCACTGCAATGATTAATGGGTATATTTGTCTGAATGCTTATTGGAGAAATATAAAGGAAATTTATTTACTTGTATGAGGGACCAAACAAATGAAAATATAAATATTACCATGTAGACTGTTAGATCATAGGAGAATTTTGAGGACTGTTTTGTAAAACATTTTACATTTGATGAATGTATACAATTTTTTGCAAAAGGCTGGTTATATTTCAATATTTGTGTTATGTTTTATGTATGGTATAGATACATGTCTCGCATCTAGGGCAGCTTCATTATATCATGATTAATCCACAGTTAAAGAGTAAGGCTACACAAACATTATCATACAATTTGTTATATCACACTGACTAAAACATCACTTATAATAAATAAGACTTAATGAGATTATTTGATATTTGAAATAAAATCTCACTGTTTATTCTGTATGGATTATCATGATTTTTGACTTGGTTAAAGAATTTTTATGACTATATGTTTTTCTTTAGAATGAAATTGTTCTCATTGTTATTGACTGTACATATTGGCAAATTGTTTTCGGGGGAAAAAAACTGTTTTGATTTTTGTTGTTGAATGTTTTAATAGGGTAAATTGGAACTGAAAATTTGAGTGCATGTGAAGCTGTCATCCCATTATTAACATAAGCAGTTCCTTGGGGTAAACTGGGAAGAATATTATTCTCTATGAATTGATCTCATTCATTAATTATTCACACATGGATATTGTTGTTTTCCTTATCATTACCAAAAAAATATCAGTTATCATGTACCTTTGTTTTGGATTGAAAGGTCCTTTTCATAGAGGGGTTGGGGAGAATCGGTCAAATTAAAATTTGAAAGAGTAACAATAAAAAAAAGTAAAATACAGTTTTATGGTAATAATTATTTCAAAAGAGTATTTATTACAACTATTATGACAGTACATAGATCAGCTCTGGTGATAAGATAATATCATTTATATCATGTGAATTATAGAATTGAAAACAAAATTTTTATGCTACTATGTTACCAGTTGTTCTAAAAACAACCATAATACATTGCATTCCAATTCTAGACTAAGTTTTTGAAAGTAAGTTTTACAGTCAATATTATTATTATTATTGGAAGATAGATATAGTAAATATATTCCTCAAGCTGACCTCATGTGGAGTTAGGCATACTGTACTTTCTTTATCTTTTTTAATGTCTTTGTTTATGTAATATACATGTTTGTAAGGATATTTGTTTATGTTTTTTGTTTGTTAAAAAACAGCAATACATTGGTTTTTAGTTGCACATGTGTCATAATATATATTTTTGTGTCATTTCTGTTATACATTTCTGTATATAATCATTGTCTAATGTAAATGATTCATTGTAAGTCCTCTTTTTCATTTTATTCTTGAACAATGTGAACAAATTTAAGTAAATTGTCAATTGGAATAATGTAAAGTGTTATAACAAATGCAAACTCCTTAGTTGTGATTCACCTATTTCTCTTTGGATAATTACAAATAGTTACTGGTAAGTGGCCAATTCATGAGTGTTAGGTTTGTTAAATTATGTAAATAGTAGCAAATTTTGTGACTCTTTGACAAAAAACTCAATATCATTTCTACTGTCTGTTTTAGGCTCAAATCCTACTAGTGATGTTGAATATGTTAAAGGTAGAAAGATATGCAACCAGGTTATCACAGGTTTTAGAGCTTACCTTGATAACCAGCTTGTTACTTGTAAAATATTGTAATGAATAGCTTCTTAGGGAGTTCTCTGGCTGTCTTAAGTCAAAGTCAAATATTTTTTGGTTTTTACTAAAAATTCAGCTCTGAAAATTATATAACATAATAGTTATAAGCAATATACATGTAACAGCCTTACTGTTGGTAGTGAGGCAGTGTCATCAAGTGCTATGAGGCAACATCTCAACTTGTATACATTCATGACAAGATTTGAGCCATGTCACGACAAAACCAACATAATGGGTTTGTGACCAGCATGGATCCAGACCAGCCTGCGCATCCGCGCAGTCTGATCAGGAACCATGCTGTTCGCTTACAAACCCTATAACAAGCAGAAAAACTGATAGCGAACAGCATGGATCCTGATCAGATTGCGCAGATGCGCAGTCTGGTCTGGATCCATGCTGGTCGCAAAACCATTATGTTGGTTTTGTCGTGACCCGGCTCAATTTTCATTTTTTCATAATTTGAGATTTAATGAATTTATTTCACGAGATAAACATGTTATACATTATGTTAATGATACTATGATTTGTAAATAGTGTACATAATCTTCATCCAAAAAAACTTCATTTATATGTTCTTTGAGATTTGTTTCTGTCTTTTTGCTTCCATTTTTTATGTTAAGACCAAGTTTTATCAAACTGAACTATCTTATTTTGTACATTTGATATACTTTCTTAGAATTAATGCTCCATAGTTAAAGAAATAAAAGCCATAATAAATAATGAGACATCTGAAGATAAGAAAATGAACATTGTAATATATTGCCATTTTGTAAATATTTAGGGAAGTCTGTTCAATAAACATAAGGACATTTTAGTTCTTTTTATTTTGTTAAGCGTCGGCCTCATTTTGCACAAACAAGCTACCTATTCAATAAAAACATGCATCCCATTCCAAACAAAAAAACCAATTTTATTGCCTTATATTATAGAAAATTAGTCTTTCATGACTGTGAAACATCCAAACATTATCATCTTAAATGTATGACTTACTACATGTAATAGTTGAAACTGTCAAAGTTACTAAAATAAATTCAGCACAGTCTATGATTGAACGCTACAAACTACTTTACATGTACATGTATATACATGTCAAAAAAATTTGCATAAACATTAATACAAATAATTGATATTATGCATACATGTTATATCATGCAGAAATTTTCTTAGAATGTTGTTACGTCCTTCGTAACCCATCTGAGATTGCGATTTTCTTCTGTCTTTTTCATCTTGTCAAAAATGTTGTATTTTTATTGTCTGAAGGAGCTCAAAATGTAGGTGAACATGGGCGCTTAAAAAATAATGGAACAGAATGGCCTGATGTTATGTTCTCATTTTCACTTCTTATAATGAAAAAAATGATGGGTTTTTATCAGGAACTGAAATGTTAAAAATTCAAGAATTTCTTGTTAAAGAGTTGATGTGTTATCATAAATGTACTTTCATTACATTGTGAATGTATTCATTGTCAACATTGATGTTAATTATTTACTGTCATTTTGTACAAATAAACATCTTGTTTCATCTTCATTATCATTATAGTATACATGTGTATTTTGGTATTAAATATTCATTTAGCCAAACACCTAATATTTGTTGTGTTTATTTAGAGGTGCATGCCTTCAGATTAATGTGTCTTAAATTGATGGCATGTTTCTTTTTTTTACTCTGTCAAGTGTGTCCTAATAGAAATAGTTTAAGCAGAGACATAGATAACAGAGATAGGCAACTTCCTAGTCAGTTAAAATATCACGCGTTCCTGCTAAACTTAAAACTTGTAGCAAGTAAAACTTATTAACCAGATATCAAAATCAGTAAAATAATACATTTTCTGAAAGCTTATGCATTTGTCTATGGCTGCAGGTAAAAATATTTACAGTTTCCATTTAAATAAATGACACATCAATTTTTAAAGAGAACTACTTATTAATTTTTGTAACAAAACTATTCATATGACGAAAAAACAGGCTCAGTGAGTATGTTCTGCTTTTATTTTCTAAGTGAAAGGCAAGGAAAGATTCTATTATTTTAACATGTAGCAGTAGATAAAAGATTAAAGTTTTAAATGGTGTGTAATATAAAAGGATCAAATGTACATCCATTAAGTTTTATTTGCTACAAAATGCCTAATTTTTTGCACTTTTGATAGGCACGAGTGATATTTCAATGGAGTATAGGAGCTGCTTATCTCTGTTATCTACATATCTGGTTTAAGTAATAGAAAATTGAAAAGTTTTGAAAGGAGGTTTTACAAAACAAGTAATTATTTAACTGTTTACTCTTTACATTATTTATTAAATTGGTCTTCATCTAAAGCAGTCTTTTCGAAGAAATGTTTAACTGCTAAATTACCCAATAAACTTCACAATTACCCAATGATTGAAATTAATCAGCATGAAAGGGTGTTATTTTCCTCTAGTAGTTTTTTATGCAACACTGTATAGATAAATGTTGAAAAAAGTGTTGTTGTTGGCGTTTGATTTCAACTAAACGGTGATTTAATAATAGTTACTGTGACGTAATACCTATCAGTTATGTAGTAACTAGTAGGAACTGTTTTTGGTTAAGTCCATTTATGTAGTAATTAAATAAAATGGCGTTTGTATGTTATGAATGTACTTGAATTGATCTCATTTCATTATTTGGCCGTGCTCTTCTCATTTTATAAACAGTAGTTCAGTATTTTCACTAAAGAAAGACTTGCTTTTCAACGTGGTGGGTTTTGTAACAAATACAGTTTTTTTTCTAGTGCACGTGTTATTCAACTGTGTTCCACTCCCAAAGTTGATCAGGATCTTCCGTACATCCACTTAATCCGAGATTGTCACGTGTAAATGCAGTTAAACATAAATCAGATGACACGTGTATTACACGTTTGTTACTATATTTCCATTTGGCATCCGGGTGACTGTACTCCGACGGAGACCGTCTCAAATTTAGTTTTAAATCATCTACATTCTTTTCTACATCGAATAAATGTCCTTCAATGCATCTTATATTGTCACTTTCTGTTAAGATAAAGTACTGATTAGAGGATATCATTTCATGACATGGGTATAAGATAATGCTTAGTCGGTTATCAATTTTAGCTATGTCGATACATCTTTTATAACGAATATTTCGAAGACTTCCTCGACACTTTGGGTTTTTCACAATATACACGTTTGAAAAAGACCGTACCATGTCGACGAAATACTGGTACGGCTTACATCGGTTTCTGGAGCGGATTGCGCGTCTGCTTTGAAGATCACCGACAGTGAAGTTTTTGTCACTAAGATAGTTCCTGATGGTATCACTGTATGGAGGATCCATCCAAACCTGCACCATTCTGGCTTTGTTTAAGGAATGGAAGTCATTTTTTGGATCATTCGCACCCCATGGAGTTATTCTGAGAAGAAAAAAAGAAATAACTAGCATTACTGTTACTCATCTTCACCTGTTTATATAAACATACGATAATACGATAATTCAACG